GTACTGATTCTTTCTTTGTAGTAATTTTTTTTATCCATGTTAGAACCTATTGCTTGTGCAAATAATAAATTTTTCAAACTTCTATGATTACGATTTTGAAATTATAACACTCATTACATGTATAACATTCATTTATTCTTACAATATTATTAAATATATACTTCTATGTGTCATTTTATGTTGCTTACAGCAACTATTTATTTTTTATTTGACTGCATTGCATAATTGTATACATTGTTTCTAACGACAGTGTTTTTCATAAATATGAACGACCACTGAATTTCATTCAGACCAATCTTTTCTTAAAACGTATGTACGCTACATTTGAAAATTAACAAGTTGCATTTCGAAACTTGAAAGACACTGTAAACAACATCTCATGCATGATGAATTATTATACCGAAGATATATGAAATTATATTTATAAACAAACAATTATAAGTTCTGCGTTATTATTCATTTATACAGAAAATTTGTCTTATAGTGTCATCTGTAATATATTATTACAATATTTTGATTTTTTCTTCTATTAATTGATCATAGAAATAATCAAACTTAACAGTAACACCTTGTGTACTAAAGTAGTATTTTCAAACATGTATTTTACAGGTATATTGCGGTACAAAGTGGACTTTCAGAGCATGCAGTTGGAGGATGTTGAAGTTGATAGTTTTGATCTGGATGACTATTAAATCTGTGCGACAACAGACAGTTCTTTTAGCTACAGAAGAAAACATAAGTATATGTTCTCCCTTGATAAATTATCATATGATGCAACATGTGCAACACACACACACACACACAAAATATATGTACACACCAACAGAGAGGAACAATTACACACATATATACATCATAAAATTATTCATTAGAGTTCATTTAAGCAATCGATATACAAAAGAGAGAAGCACAAGATGCAGCGCGCCGATAATCCATGTCCATGAAGAAAAAAGGCAACTCGAAGACTGTGACACTTAATTAAGCCAGCTTGATACCTGCCTATTCTCACACAACATTACCTTGTATTACAATTATAGTCTTTAATTATTCACATGGATTTATTTCAATAATTACACGCGCTACAGTGCTGAATATGTTTGTACAGTACATGATTTAAAACATCATAATTTTATATAAAATTGATGTTTGTCATTATATTATGAATTTTAGGGTGGAAAAAAATATAAGTAAAAAAGAGTACTCTAACGGCGAAGATGTAGCGTTATTTTTGTTCAGACACAATCATAATAAGCTGTAATAAACTGATTATTATAAACTTGAAGTTGCGTATCGTGCATTCTATACCGATTACTAAATTCATATGAATAATGAAGAGTTCTGTACATAGACTTAAATTTTTAATGGCACTGTTGCCTTAGACATAAGTTAAGGTCGTGTAATATCCCGGGAAAAATAAAACCTTTCCGTCTCATCGAGTGATACACATATGTAAACATAAGAGATAATTTTCGTAATCTATATTAACTTCGCTGGCCCTCGACTCTTATATTTTGTACACTCACAAATGTATATAACGAATGCTTCGCATGTGTATCAAGGTATCTTTTTGATTGTTACAAACGGTGCACTCCATTAGTAAAAGAAAATAATATCTTCCACAATATTTGCGTGGTAGTTATTTGAAAAAAGAAGAAAGAAAACGCAGGAAATGTTACGAAATTATTTTAACATTGTTAATTTAACTGGCTTATTCATATGATGCCTTTGTAATAAACAATAATATGTATGTATAAGTATGGGAAGAATGAAACGTACAATTTTGGTGAAGTATCTTTTATGAAATATCGCTGTATAGTATAAAAGAAAATTCTTGTGAATGTTGTGAAAATCTTTGGTAAAACTAATATATTGTTAATTGATAGTATAATTAGATATTATTTATACTATTTCACCATATGTGATGAAGGGAGCAAAGTTTTACGGAAAACTTCATCAAAATAGAACGTTCAAGGAAAGATCCGGCTTACGGTATGTGCACAACGAATTTCGAATCATGGTTTACAAGTATTGTATCTGTGTATTGTCTTTACGAAACTGATGTGTTAAATATCGGCTTAATGTTTCTTGGAATTTTTATATGTAAACATTCTTTCAATAGGTATCTAGGTAATTATTTATTACTATGTCGGTGCGATTAGTTCTTCTGCTTAGCAGAAGCTTGTTTTAAGTATGCTTAAGTCCTAGTTCTGTAAGAACACGATAAACACTTTGAGGGAGACTAGGAAAAGCCTTGTAATCTTTGTAATCATATTTTATTTTTGTTTGTCTTGAGACGTAGTCTATTACACCTTATTTAAACGTGTCAATGACGTACTTAGATTATGGCTTACCTATGATCTCTTGTATGAGCATAGTTGTATAATATGCTAACAAATCTACAATTTTACGTTTTTTTCGGCAGTTTATATTCTCACGTATTGCATTACCAAAATATTTTTATTTTGTCAGGAACTATTTATGTCTGACAAGGCAATACAAAGATGTAATTATTACAAAATTTTTATTAATCAAACTCTTTAAACGTACGGATTTAATACCTCATATTTTGTATGTATCATACGTGTAATTAAACACGTCAGCTGCGTTTGAAGTTTTCACAGAATTTAGTGCGAAGAGGATACCGTAGAATTATGGATTTCAAGTTCAACGATTTGGAGTTGGCTGTACTATGAGATTCAAGTTCTATTTTAAAACAATGTTCTGTGAAGTGACAAAAAGGGATATTGAAATAATGATTATGAGATATATTATGGAACACAAAAAGTCCATATTTATAAAAATTCCTGTTATAGAAATTAAAATTATCTTGGAGAAATTGTTTTTATTATCAAATTACACATTCACAAATATACAAAAAAGGTTTTCTGCCGTGTTTCTTTTCATAATTATTACAATATATGTAATCACAACATACATAAAATTTATCGTTTAGTAAGATAAGATTAATGAACTTGTATATATAGTTGAAAACTATATGTGACTCAGCAATTAAACATTATTTCTAATCCCCCTTTTTTCACATGCGCATTACTTAAAATTTATACAAAAAGGAAATGAACATGTCGTTAATATCGAAGTTTCATTAGAATCTGGATAGATTTAAATATGAAGAATAAGAAGTAAGTGAAAAATACAATCTATGTTTCTCATGCAAATAAGTTGCTATTAGGGCCCGGAAATATACAAAACGTATGCTCCCACGGAGCATTTTAAAAATAAATAATTACAAATGTTTAATATATAGAAATACACATAGAATTCGACTAAATAATAATGGTAATACGAATTGACAAAATAGATGATAAACAGTATTTAGAATGATTACTCCGTGATGGATTTGTGATGAGCAATATTTCCAGGCTCCGATTATAACAATTCTCTTCACATTTGCAATTTTATTAATGTTTCCCTTTTTATATGTATAAGCAAATTTTGGTTACACACTATAGTGAAAAGAATGTCTTTGATTATTGATAATTGATAAGACATGTTTACCTACGTAACAGAGTGCAGTTAAATAGAAAAGCTGCCCTTTCCAGTCTATTATCCAACTTGATTCTTATCAATAAGAAAAAAGGATATTAGCATAATATAATAAAAAGGAGTTACACAGTGGGATACATTTTATACCATTTTTATACCTGATTGTATCTAGAATATTTTTGCTTGGTATGTGCATTAGACAGCTACAATTGAACATACTTTTTCTTTTAATTGCTTTAAAACTAATATTAGACTTGTAAAAATATAAAAGAACATATATATAACTATATAACATATATAGTCATGGCATTAGGATTTTTTTACATTTGTATATTATATAAATTAAAGGAAATACTCATATTAAGGACAATAAAAACGAAGGAACAGAGTTACCTATACTTATGACAGTATAAAAGTTTGATAGATATAAAAGATTAAAATACATAACACTTTATAAAATTTTATTGATTACGTACAACACAATATTACTTGCCATCTGTCTCTGGAACTAAGAGATTAAGACTAGCATCTGTAATTGTTGAACCTAGATGTGTCTCTTCATCACCACGTATAGACAAAGGAATAACATGAACGTTAGTTTTTCTTTCATCCATCATTGCAGCTATTATCCAATTTGAACTACTACATTTTATGCAACTATGCGAAGGTATTCTATTTAAGCTTACAGTTCTTCTTCCACAATCTCCACACTTGAAGAATCTTTTAGTTGCATCAGCAACACGTAATGGATGCTTTTGTTCTTTACACAGTTCTGAAGCAGAAAATGCTGTGTATTTACAGACTAAACATTTAACAGCTTTACAAGGGATTTTATAAGTAGTTAACATCTTCTCTTCCATTTTTTCTTTCATTTCTAACTTATTGAAGTATTTTTCCTTCTCTTGTTCGTAAGATTCTTCGATGAGATCAGTATGAGCAGACTTAACTTGCAACATTTCTTTAAATTTATCTGATAACACATTTGGTTTTTTCGTTACTTGTTCTTCACAAGTTTCTGATTCTCTTGCTCGTTTCTTCCCCTTTTCCATCTTTTCCTCTTTGTTCAATCGCGTTTTATTAGGGTCCTTGGCCTCAATTTTTCCATTTTTTTGCACCCATTTAATTGCATTATTCTTCGCTACGTTAATTTGTTTTTTAGTTATAGGTTGTGATAAATCTATAGTTCCTCCAAAGCAACCAACACCTAATTGTGGATTTAAAGACTGTCTAGAAATCGTGCTCAAATTTTGTTTTCCTGGATCAGTCAGTTTACCTGCATTCATCTTTAATAAAGTAGATGTTACAGCTACAGGTTTTTCATTGGATGACTGAGATAATACAGCAGCTTTCCAACCCCTTGATCTATTTATTTCATTAAAATTCTTCTTCATTTGTTGTTCTGGTGAGTCTATAGCTTTGCACTTTAAATTGTCCATGGATTTTATACCACAACTTTCAGTCTTTTGGCTATCTGAAAGTAATGCTAAACGCTTTGCATCCTTTTCTTCTAACTGTTTATTTTTGACAGCAACAATAGCATGAAATTCTGGCATATTATTGCTACTACTAAGTGACTGTTTCTGTTGATTTTTATTCTTTAACATATCTATTGAAAACTTCTGTGTATTACTAAATGCTTGAAGCTCTGCTCTACGAGAGCACTTCTTATACTCCTGCTGGATATGACAAACACAGAATTCACAGCGACTGGTATTCACAATTGCATTACATGGTTCTCCATTCTTTTTTACTGATTTACATTTTCCCAAATCCTTAGATTTACCAAGAATCATGATTTTCTGAGCATTATTGATGGATAACGTAGCTAAATCAGTATTTCCTTTTGATTCTAAGATGCTGGGATTAAGAATACCTATCACAGTTCCGACTGTAGTTTTCCAAAATGATTTGTATGCATTACCAAACATAAAAATACATACTGTATTTATATTTTCAGATAAATCACTTATTTTCCATATGGAATACGTGCTTCCTTTTTGGGAAGTCTTTGGTGGAGATTTATTTACTAGTACTCCTGCAATTACCCAATCGTTATCCTTTTTTCCTGAGTTAATATGAGATGTAATCTTTGATACCGTCACTGGTATTTTACCATCCATACGTGATTTCAACTCTGTGGAAGATATAATCGGAGTAATAATTCTTAATCCAAAACATGGATCGCTATAAACCTCTTTCGATGTAAAATTATTGTTAATTGTATTATTGTTGTCAATTGTCTTTGTTACATTTGTAGTTTGTTTTGTTGCACTAAAGTTGAATGTTTTTGAACTTGTTTCACGAAGTACAGTCTTGTTTTCAGTTTTCTTAGTATCATCCTGTTTTAACAAAGATTTTATATCGCGACCATAATTAGAGTAATTTTGTTCCTCAAAATAACGTCTGTCTTCATCATCCGAAGAATCAAGATTATCATCATAAACTTCGCTCTTCTCTTTCAGATTAAGTGATTGATTCTTATTACTTGTTTCATGTGTACTATCTAAAAAATTAAAATCTAGCTCTTTCAGTGCTTTAGCTTTTGGCGAAGCCTGTGGAGATGTTTCTTGAATTTCTTCAACGTTCGCATTAGCTAATAGATCATTCAGAATATCACCTACGTCAGAATCACTGTCATTATCCATTTTAAATTGCTGAAAATATTATTTGTAACTGTTATTTGTAAGTTGGTTGGTATAAATATAATTATTTTAAAACAAACTTTTAAATACAGCAGGTCTCGAATAATGCGATCAGAAAATTGTTCACAAAAAATTACATTTACTAACAGAAACAATACGATAGTCATTTTTTTATCGCATTTTATGGAGATCTATTGTATATTTATTCATTAATATTTGTAGATCGTACTTACAAAGTTTTTTAGTATCGAAGACGTAGTAAATATATAAATATTAATTGGTAAACAAATTATAGTTTTGAAAACGTTGTCAACTGTATATCATTTTCTACTTAGCATCAAGCAAACTACACATGCACTTCGAAGTAACTGGCAACGGCAACTGTCAGGTCGTGTAATGCAGTGTAATCGCTTTAACTATTTTCCCGCGCTTTCTTACAAGAAAAAGAAGAAGTCACGTTTTCATTAATAATCTTTAATTTTTATTCATTCATTATATTAATATAATTTAGTTATAAATAATAATTTACATTCAACTAGGAAATACTGATTCATATTAAATATTCTTAAATAATTATTTCACTACGTAACTTCGTAAATGGACAATATACATATACATATTATGTAGTATATGAAATGAAGTATATCCATTTTTCATATGTGTGTGTTATGGAACATGCAATTCTCTAAAATATAAATTAGTATTTTAATAACTAATTAAATTCAACGTACGCACACTCGGAAGCATTGAAAAATAAAAGTGATTTATATGAAAATATTTTTACATGACTGTAAAAGGTTTAATAAATATACAATATTTTTAACGCATGCGCTGAATTTGATTCAAAGTAATTCATTTCATAAATTAATAAATGTTGATAAATATTATTATAATTGAAAAGTAAAATTTGTAAAATTGGAAAGTTGTTACGTTAACCAAAAGGGCAACGTTCGCTTGAATAAGTACACAATTTTTTTAGCTTGCCAGTTCTATTCCCAGAAACTCGTAGCTCGAAAATCGACCGGACTTGGCAAATATTTACCTCGAATGTTACAAACAGTTTAACGAAGTCGGAATGACGGCTGTAGAAGAGGACGTAGTACCGAAAGTTTTCTCTAGATGGATTAGCGACACATTTCTTATTCTTTCTTTGATTTATAAAGGTGAATCCTGTGGATGACACCAACGGCAGCGGATGTGACGACTGGCGCGCCCAAGTTTTTGAAACTTTAAATTTAAGTTTGATTAAATAAAAGTGGAAAGTGTAATTAGGAAGTCAGTGAACCCAGATACACAACGCTACACCCTCGTGCCCTTCCAGAGTTTCGATACCCACAAGATAAACTTTATATCTACCTTAGAGATAATCAAGGGAAACAATCACGTTATAGTAGTCTTTTTCTGTACCATTCTTCCGAGCCCCTTAGAATTCTTGGGAGACACCAATCCAAAATGGACGCTACAAACGTCATAGAATGGTCGCCATAGAAACTCCTTCCAATTATAGACTCGACAAAACTGTCTGAAAAGAATAAGTAACGAAAGCAAAGCTAATCAAACAATTTAAAATGGCAAAAGCCTGCGGCTTTACCCAAAAATTTATGTGAGTACGTTAACAGTGAAAATAAAACTTGACAAAGGAAACAAATCATCAGCTTACGATATGACGTACTTAGCAAAGCCAATACATTTATTAAGTGTTCATCGCTTGAAGCAAAGAGGAGAAAGAGAGAGAGAGAGAGAGAGNTTTTTTAGCTTGCCAGTTCTATTCCCAGAAACTCGTAGCTCGAAAATCGACCGGACTTGGCAAATATTTACCTCGAATGTTACAAACAGTTTAACGAAGTCGGAATGACGGCTGTAGAAGAGGACGTAGTACCGAAAGTTTTCTCTAGATGGATTAGCGACACATTTCTTATTCTTTCTTTGATTTATAAAGGTGAATCCTGTGGATGACACCAACGGCAGCGGATGTGACGACTGGCGCGCCCAAGTTTTTGAAACTTTAAATTTAAGTTTGATTAAATAAAAGTGGAAAGTGTAATTAGGAAGTCAGTGAACCCAGATACACAACGCTACACCCTCGTGCCCTTCCAGAGTTTCGATACCCACAAGATAAACTTTATATCTACCTTAGAGATAATCAAGGGAAACAATCACGTTATAGTAGTCTTTTTCTGTACCATTCTTCCGAGCCCCTTAGAATTCTTGGGAGACACCAATCCAAAATGGACGCTACAAACGTCATAGAATGGTCGCCATAGAAACTCCTTCCAATTATAGACTCGACAAAACTGTCTGAAAAGAATAAGTAACGAAAGCAAAGCTAATCAAACAATTTAAAATGGCAAAAGCCTGCGGCTTTACCCAAAAATTTATGTGAGTACGTTAACAGTGAAAATAAAACTTGACAAAGGAAACAAATCATCAGCTTACGATATGACGTACTTAGCAAAGCCAATACATTTATTAAGTGTTCATCGCTTGAAGCAAAGAGGAGAAAGAGAGAGAGAGAGAGAGAGAGAGAGAGAGAGAGAGAGAGAGAGAGAAGAGAGAGAGAGAGAGAGAGTTTAACAATAATATGAAAGCAAACAAAATACTGGCAGAACCGAACATTGTCGCATTTGCGCCCCGATATACTACTTGGAGAAGAAGGAATAATAAAGAGATACAGTTCAGATTTTGACTTACAAGATCATCTCACACAATCTACTTCTGCCAGCAAGATATTATACGTCAGGTATCTCAATAAAAGGATTCTTGGCCCCATCTTCTCAGAAATTCTATGGAAGTCCCAGAATCTTCTGTAGGTGTAGGGTTATTAAAAAAGAGAGGCCCACTCTTGCTCCCCCAGGGGCATCAGATGCATTCATTGCAGAAAAGCATGTTATACAGGGTGTGCAGGGTGTTGCATAAGGGTAAAAATAAATAAAAAACTGAATTCTTGCTCACCAGAATATCTCCATTTACGAAGTCCGCTCAAAAGCGAATGTCAAGCTAGAACTGGAAGATAAAAACAATTATCACAGTAACTCCGACCTATCAAATCCTATCCATCTCTTCCAACACCTTCCATAAAAAATACCTATGAATTACGCCGTATTCATTTGAAGGAACGCAACTTCCAAATTCTCAGAACCCTTCCACAATTGTAACGAAACACGTAACGTGACACTCTAATGCGTAAAATAGTGAATATGATCTACAAAAATTAATTTGGAATGTAAAACCTGTGTTTTATATTACCATTTTGATTTTTTCAATTTCAACTTTTATTCGAAATTATTGGAGAACAACGGCGTGTTTTGAAAAGCCATGTAAACTTGAAGCGTGCAATTCTCGCATGCTCAGATTATTGAGCGAAATAAATGGCAACGGTACGGGCGTTAGCTTGGTGCCGCAATAATCATGGCGTGCAAGTCATTTTATATTCTTTACGTAAGCGCCTATCTGCTGGTGTAGTCAAGTTTAATTGCGATATTCCAGTGTTTATACTTTGGAAGTTGCATAAAAAGTTTTCCAGCGTGTTTGCCAAGACGATCACGAAACGTGAAACACAAAAGGAAGAGCAGTCGTAAGCCAAATCTGTAGAAAAATTGAAACAACGTTTATCCGTGAATAATTGTATAAGAGTTTGATGCGATTTTAAGGGGCAACATTTTGAAAGGATTGCTTTTAATATTGCATTCATATTTACATACATATTATATGTATATCTTATACATAATTATGTATATGTATGTTGTATAATGTGTATGTATGTATTAGGTGTTCGCAAAATGTTAGTCTCCCTTTCAATTTCCCTTTATTCATACGTAACATATACATTAATATTAACATTCGAAATATTTTCTTTCATTTCGGATGACTTTCTCCCGTCTGTCACTCTAATCAATTGAAATTTTTGCAAAAATTTGTTTAGCCATTGTCTAGTAAACTAGTCTCTTTAAGATCTTAACAAAATTTAAATCATTTGACACTATTTTATAGAAGTTATACTCGCTGCGAGATACAATACTTTCACCGTGAACCGAACAAATCGATTAACGTTTTTGCATTATTAAAACCCTTAGCGGTCACAGTATTGAATGTAAATCCTTTTACCATGCATCGATTAGCATTTATTATTGTTTTGCAAAGTTATTCTCGCTAGTGGAGAATAAAGTTGCAATTGCACAAAATGGCGAGAGATTGTACTAGTTAAAGTTATCCTATATGAATAGTTAGAAAAAGAAAGATAAAAACTTTTGCATGTCCCTAATACAGTCAGGTACAATAATGTTACACTACTCGCTACCGTGGAACCGTCGATCGATTCGAGCAATAAGTCATCAATAAAACATTCTCTTTGCTGCTACACCTTACGGGCTCACGGTATATCCACCTCACAATACGCGTCTGTATTATCTTTTACATTCACCGGTTTAACTGGCTTCTGAGTGAGAATTGTTTCCGCAAAAAAATCGTTTCTCTTTGATATGTAAGTTTCGCAGCAAATGTTCGTTTTTATCGATTTCGGATGAAGTGCAGATTTTATCGGATTACATATTTACTATCCCAATTCGTTGCGTCTTTTTATTCTTAAAGCGGCCTCTGCTGTCAATAATCCCCTTCCGTTATGAATAAACGATGAGAGAAACGAGGTGGAAATTCGTTTAAGGGGGATAACTCATGTTTAAAATAAGACAATATTAGTGTCTGTTTTTTTTTTTCTAGAAAAACTCCGCACCGTATTTTTTCTTTAACATTGGAATTACAGAGTCCTAAACATGACAAATGTACATTGTTTATAACAATGACAAGGTTAGATTTATTTAAATTTCGTATGATTTCTATTGTAACGTAAGCTCGAATAAAGGAGTTTTTATCTAAAAGTTTCTCATCGAAATATTTTTATAATGTCAGGGATTGTAAGAGAAGAAGTCAGAAACTATACATTTTTACTGGCTTGGTAGTTCTAATGTTAAACTTAGAGAACATAGAATTTCGCTCCGACAAAATTGTAAACCGCTATCCCTGTACTAAAATTAAGGTAAAATTGCATTAAGGAAAATACTAACGCGACGCTTGAAACAACGCGTCCAATGCAGAATACATCCTTAACAAAGTAAATTCATATAACGTGCTATTCCATACTATAACTAAACTTCTTACAAAATCGTAATACGGTAAATTCTCCCTAATTGACGCTCAGATTGTACACAAAAATGAACAATTTGGGAATAAGAGATACGGTTATTCGAGCCTTGCGACTCGTTTTTATATTTAGCGATTGTCAACAATTATAAAAACGAAGCATAAGGCTCGAATAATCGTACCTCCTCTTCCCAAATTGTCCATTTTTGTTTACAAGCTGAAGGAAAATTAGGAAGAATTTACTGTATATACATAATATACTTTCACACTCGCACCAGTCTAAAATACATCTTCCCATTATCAAAAATGTTCCCACAATTCCGTGCGATCTTCTTCAAGTAAG